AAACCTAAGCTACACAAAACGTATTAATAATCGAATTAACTATTAATATAAATTATGTTTTCCAAGGACTATGAAAAAGGTCCTCGGAAGGTGTGTATGTCCTCGGAAGTTGCTATATATCTGTATTTTTGTCCTCGCAACATATAGCAATCCAAGTACATACACACATACACACACACATACAGACACACTAACTGCAAAGACTCCCATTATGTGCTTTGCACATGGGAGTCAAAAATTAAAAATCTTTTTTATAAATATTATGATTTATTACCATCAGGATAAGATAGCAAACATGAACTAAAAAACACACATTGTATCACCATAAATAAAAACACTGGCTATTCAATGTTGATTGTTAAAACAAGTATATTTCTTCATACTGGCATTAGTGATAAAGCAACTAGGATTTATTAATATCTCAGTATTCTCTGTATCTTCAATACAGACTAGGATTTATTAATATCCCAGTAATCTCTGTATCTTCAATACAGACTAGGATTAATTAATTAATATCCCAGTAATCTCTGTATCTTCAATACAGACTAGGATTAATTAATTAATATCCCAGTAATCTCTGTATCTTCAATACAGACTAGGATTAATTAATTAATATCCCAGTAATCTCTGTATCTTCAATACAGACTAGGATTAATTAATTAATATCCCAGTATTCTCTGTATCTTCAATACAGACTAGGATTAATTAATTAATATCCCAGTATTCTCTGTATTTTCAATATAGACTAGAATTTATTAATTCTTTGAATGTAAAAGTCAACCTTTGTCACTATTGACATAATAAAGCCACATTTTGTCAGTATTTTTGTTAAAAAAATCAACTTTCAATTGCGAATTATGTCCATTGAATTCAAATTTTTTTAAAAAAATGATGAAAAACAAAGAAAGCTTAGAAAGAACTCCCGTGTGCTGAGGGAATAAGGATCATGATGTAATAATCGGGAATATTTGAAAATGATAAACAAATTATGAATAATCTATTAAATAAGGAGCCACCAGTAGTCATCTACACACATAGACATCGTATACCTACAATAAGTCTACTTAAAAATATGCATAAAAAGTCTACACAAAATTGCAACATTAAAAAGAAAACTGAAATAATTCATAAAACATTGGGGAAAATGAAATGCAACGAAAATAGTAAATAAATGCCCAAAATAAACTTATAGGGCATTTAAAAATATTTTAGAAATTTAGTTAACACGGAAAACGTGAAGTAGCAAGAACAACTATATAAATTTCTGACAAACAATCACAATCTAATATCTAAAATTCAAACCACTATCTTAATATCAATATGTGTGTCAATAAATATTATATTTATTTATTTTCAGTTACGTATATTAATAAGAAGGCATCACAATCTTTTCGATTGGTTTGTAAATCCCGAAAAT